TGTTTAACTATGTGTACAATATTTGTTTAAAAAAATGAATATTAAAAGCATAATATTTAGAAAAGGTTACTTAATTTAATTTCTTATTTTTAAAAGTTTTTTTAAGATTTTAAATATTGTTGGTTATTGGTTAATGGAAGATTATGTATAAAAAATGGTTTTTGGGTATATATGTTTTTGACAGGTTTTCATTGGCGTGTACATGTGAGATATGAAGATACCGTCACCAACCCAGATCATCCGTTTGCTTGTGGTATCATGTTGAAACATATCTCTGCCTACACAACAGATGCTAAATGGCAACCTGCACAGATGGATAATGCAGCCCACAGTTATACATAAGGTTAGTTCAGGTTCATACACATAAGGTTTATTTTCAGGCCACTGCAGTTATACATTAGTTCAGGCCAAATACAGTCAACACTTATGGTCAGTTCAGGCCTAAAATTAATTCAGTTGACTACAGTTATATATAAAGTTATTGCAGACAACTATAGTTGTTCAGGCCTTCTTTAAGCTTATCTTATTATATGACAGACTATCAGACTATTCTCCAGTTCCATTTGTGAGTATTTTTCCTTATACAAAAGACAAATCCTCATGGAGAGTAAATATTGGTTCAATGAAAACACCTGCTAAGAATAGGTTATGACACTGTGATCAAGTATTGGTTGGTGTTGTGTGTTCTGGTAGAAATGCAATACCACATTATATTAAAGCATACAGAGTCACTATAAGTTTACAGATGACCTGTATCAGCAATTTTATTGATACGAAATATTGTATGTACATGTGTCTTGGCAGTGCTCTATGAAGATAATGAAAGTGTATGTACATTTAATTATGTTTTGTCATGACTATATACTTAAATTTTTTATCAACTCTACATCTGGTGTAACATAGGTGATGCCAATACCTTAGTAACCTTAGTAACCTCAGGGTCTCCTCACTGTTTGCTTAATGTTCAAGAAGGCCATGTTTCTTATTATACAAATAAATAGCACAATAACTTTTTGTGTCGCCTCTACGGAGTAGTGGCGACATATAGGGATCATTCTCCGTCGTCTGTCTTCCGTCTGTCCGTCTGTCCGTCTGTTGTCTGTCTGTCTGTCCCGCCCCTTCCGTCCTCCGTCAAAAAAACTTGTCCGGATACTGCTCAAAAACAAATGGTGAATTTCACCCAAACTTTACGGGAATGATCAGTACCAACCCTAGTTGTGCTATTGTCGGGATTTTCCGGTTTCAATGTTTTTTTGTCAAGTTATGGCCCTTTTAACAATTTTTAATTTTAAAGTTTGTCCGGACTATTTCTTATCCACTAATGCAATTTCAATGAAATTTTAAAACAGGATTGATCTGTACTCAAGCCCCTTTGCGCATATTGCAGGGGGTTTTGGGGTTGAATGATTTTTGGCCGAGTTAGGGCCCCTTTGATAAAAAGGTTTTTTTTTCTGGTTTCCCAGATACAAAAAAGCTTGTCCGGACTACTCCTCATAAACTAACTGGTGAATTTCTAAAACTTTAACGAATGATCATACAAGTTAGTTGTGCATATTGTCAGCATTTTTCCCGGGGTTAATGATTTTTGTTTGAGTTATGGCCCTTTAAAAAATTTTTTTTTAAAGTTTGTCCAGACTACTTCTCTTATACACTTAGCAATTTCAATGAAACTTTACAATTGATTGTAGCTCAAAGCCCTTGCGCATATTCACGGGTTTTCCCCGGTTGAATTGATTTTTGGCCGAGTTATGGCCCTTTAAAAAAAAAGGGTGTTTTTTTCTGTGTTTGCCAGATACGCAAAAGCTTGTCCCGGACTACTCCTCATAAACTACTGGTGCAATTTTACCCAAACTTTAAGAATAAATAGTAAAAGTGGTTAGTCTGTTGTGCACTGTCCGTCTGTCTGTCCGTCTGTCACAAAATTTGTCCCAACATGAAATTGGCCATCATGAGGCGACACATGTGATTACTGATCGCTCTTGTATAAAATTTAAAAATAACTTTTGTTGAGAAATGATAGTGAGAGAGAAAAGGAATGTAATGTCCAAAATAAATGTTTGTAATAACATAAGTTACTGATACTTATAATTTGAAAATGAAAGCACACGTAATAGCAAAATTAAAACAGGTAAATTAAAAGGAAAATTTTAACAGCTTTATGTGCCCACTTTTTAAAAATGCTTCAAAAAATTTTTAGGTTTTTATTATTATGTTTTTACTCCTCGGGTCTTTTTTTGCCTTTTTCATGTTTTTTTTTAAAAATTAAAACTCTGAAAGGAAATTGAAACGTTTTGGGAAAAATTTAAGTAAGAGCCCCGGGTTTAAGTGCCCTTTGACCCAAATTTCAAATTTCCAAAAACCTTGTCTTTAAATGAAATTTTTTTGTCGGCTCTGTGTCTTTTATACTGATGGAAAAAATGAAAACTATTTGGCAGAATGTTAAATATAATAAGACAATGAATTATGTACAGCATTTGGGTGTCAACTTGAGAACATTTATCCTGTTGAGATACAAAATAAGCTAAATTCCTTGTTTTAAGACATTGTTACCTTGAAAATGTTGATATATAAAGACAACATTTAAAACCCTTTTGAAAATTTTTTCCCAACATAACCACAATTTTTTAATACTCACGGATGTTTATTTTTGGTTCATTTAAAATTGAAAAAGTTTTAAAATTTTTAAATTTTAACAAAAAAATTTTTAAATGAATGCTCTCGAAACTGTTTTATTTTCTCCCCAGTTTTAAAAAAATTTGAGGGGAAAATAACCCGTCTTGAAATTGTAAAGCTTAAATTTTTTGTAACGTTAAAATTTTATTAAAATAAAATTCAAGAAAAAAAACCTGGCATACAAACTGACAATAAAGGAAAAAATTTTCCCTGCAAGATGCACATCATTTTTATAAATGAAAAAAAATTTAAAAAATTTCTTGCTACAGCCTTTATTACTTTTAACTACATCAGCAAAAAATTTCAATTTTTGTTTTAAAGGGACAACATTTTGGGGATTTTGTTTTTAAAATTTTTTTCATTTTAAAAACTTAAATTTTTAAAATTTGGAAAAAAAAATCCCCAAAAGGGGGCTTTGGGGTTAAAAAATTTTTAGGGGCCCACGGGCCAAATCAAAAAATTAAAATTTTTTAAAAAAACCTTTTTTTCCAAAAAAAAAAGGGTCTGAAATTTTCCCCATTTTATTAACAAATTTTCTTTAAAAATTTTTCCTTGGCTTTGTCATGGGGGAAAAAAATCCCAATTTGACAATCCCAAAAACCCCAAGGGAGAATTTTATTGGGTGAAAAATTTGGGTTTTTGGGGCCCCCCCTTTTTTGTTTTTAAAATGTTGGGGCTTTTGGGTGTTAAATATTTAAAAAATTTTTGGGAAAATTTTCCCGGAAATTTCCTTTTAAAAAAAAAGAAGTCATCAATTCCCTTTTAATAATAACTTAAAATGCCAAAAATCATTATTTTGGCCTTTTTTTTCCCAACTTTACCAAATGGAACCCCTAAGGGATTTAAAGGAATCAAAACTTAAATTTTAATTATTTTAAAGGGAAACCTTGGGGGCCCTTTTTAACCTTTAAAAGGGCCCAAAATTTTCGGGGTTTAGGGGGGATTTACCGCCCCCCCCAAAGGGGGGAAAGCTGGTTTTTTTGGTCGGCCCCAAAAGTTTCATTTTTAAGAAAATTTCTCAAAGGAAAAGTGTTTATTAGGTTTTTTAAAACTTTTTGGGCCTAAAAAAGGGGGGGGGGCAAATTGCAATTGTTTAATAAATTTTTGGGTGAAAGGGTTAAAAGAAATTGGTTTAACTATGTTTAAACAGAAATGAAAAAAAATTTGAAATTGGATGCATTTATAAATAGACCCTTTTGAAACTCTAAAATGGGAAATTTGTTTAATTTTTTAGAAAATTAAATTTTTCTAATTATTTCAATTTTTTTTAAATTGCATTTGCTTTTGTTTTTCCCTTCTTTGCCCATATGTTAATTTTTTTTAAAAATTTGAGAAAAATTTTTTTAAAAGGGTCTTTCCCACAGTTACAAGTTAGAAAAAGGGGATTTGAACGCTTTGGGGGAATTGCTCCCTTGTCTTGAAAAAAGCTCTTATTTTAAGATTAAAAAAATAACTATAGTGCAAATTTGGAAAATTTTTAACATTATTATTAATTCCCAATGTTGATGTTTTTTCCCAGTATTTAAATGTCAGAGCTCTCATTTACTTTTTAAAATTTGAAATAAAATGAGGGGAAAAGTTTTTATGAATTGCGGGAAACAGCTAGCTTTCTTACGGGGAACAAACTGTAAATGTGATTTTTTATTTTTTGATGTTTAATATATTTTTTTATACATTCGGGCCAGGAAAAATTGGGGCCATTTTTAAAAGGGCCAAAAGAAATTTTTTTTAGTTGGTGTTTCCATGTTTGTTTGAATTTTTATTTGAAAATTTTTTTTTTAAAAAAATAAAAATTTTTTAAAAAATGCATTTTAAGTAACCTTAAAAAAAATTCAAAATGAAAAAAACCCTTACCCCAAAGGTTTGGGGGGGGGTTTGGGTTTTCGGGGGGGGGGGTTTTTGGGGGATCAGTTGGGGTTTTTTTTAAAGGGGTTTTTTTCCAGGTTGGGGGTTTTGGGTTTTCTTTTAGGGAAAATTTTTTTCGGGTTAAAATACAAATTTTTTTTTTCTTTGGGAAAAAAATTTTAAACCCCTAAAAATTTCTTTTTTTTTATAACTTTAAATGTCATGTCTTTAATCATGGATTTGCTAAACTTTTTATGAAAATTGTTTTTTTTTTAAATCCTTGAATAAAACGGGGTACTCAAAAGGGGGGGTATTAATTTGAAAAAACATGAAATTAATGGTTTAAATTTTTCCTGCTAACCCTTTTAAATTTTTAAGCATGAGTTAAATTTTTAAACTGAAAAAAAACCCACTTTCTTTTAGGCTTATAAAAAATTTGAAACTTTTTTTTTTAAACAAAAATTTTTAAATTTAACCAAATTAAAGGACTCATTTTTTTATTTTTGTTGGAAAATTTTAAAGAAGAGCCCCCAGATTCATGCTTATTACCCAAAAAATTTAAAAAATTGTTTTTAAAAAGAAAATTTTTAAAGTAAAACAAAGGAAAGAAATTTTAACCATTGAAAATGGCCTTTCACCCAATTTTTTAACCAAATAAAAGGGAATTTTGCAAAAAGTTTTACTTTAGTCATGTGGGAAATTTAAGGGTTTTAAAATCCTGCAAAAAAAAATTTTTTAAATTTGGGCACTTAAATATAAACTTTTTAAATTTTTTATGTTTTCTTAAATCCTTTTTATTTTTTTTAAAAATCTTTTTTTAATT